ATTTAAACTATATGGGGGCTCCAAGCCCCCAGATTAAAATCCGCACTGTTTTTTGCAAGATGTTCAGATGAATATTAAAGTTCTTCGTGCAAAATTTGAAGAATTTAGTTCTATTGGTTTACCAGATAAACGAATTTTTGTATTTAATTCATATGGGAGGTACCGCTCCCCTCATTGGTAGTCCGCCAATTTATAACCTAAAATGTTTACATGGATGTTCTTCGTGCAAAATTTTAAGATTCTAATTGTAATAGTTTCCAAGATAAAATAAATTTTCTATTTAATTTATATGGGAGGTGCCATGCCCTCTGCTGCTAGTCCGCCTACTTTTTGTCCTAAATAATCATATTTACACTAAAGTGGCTCCAAAAAAATTTGAGGACTCTAACTGTTATATTATCTCAGATATACGGATTTAATGTTTTCTTAATAGGGGCGTGGCTCCTTGCCCACTTCAAATTTCAAAATAAAAAGTAGCTTATAACCTCTTCCAGACATACAGGAATACACTGTGAAAATTTCAGCCGTTTAGTAGTCCATAAACTTCAAATATACAATCATACGAACATATAAACATACAAATATACAAACACACAATCATTTTTATCTATATGGGGCATTTCACGTCAAGTGAACCAACTTTTGAAATCGATGTCTTCCGATGAAATTTGCACCAATGTTAGTTCTATTAGATAGTAATTCGGACACCATTTTTCAACAAGATCGGTCAAGAACTCTCTGAGTTATAGGAGGTCAAAATTTGACATTTTGGCCAAACAGGTGTTTTTTTATCCATATAACTTATTACCTATTGTTCTTAGCAAAATGTGTCCCAAATAGTTTAGATATTTTTTTCAAAATGGGCCCTTTTTATTTTTTTTAAGAAAGCTTAGGTCTTTTCCTAAGCGACCTATATGGTCGCTTAGTGGGATGCGAGTGGGATATCTATCAAAGAAAATATTTTGTAACTCAAGATTTAAAATTTTTGAATTTTTTTGCAAAATCAAAAACTTTGTTGACTTTTTTTTAAAAAAATGGACCCATTTTTTAATTTTTTTTTTTTTTTTTTGATCAGAAGAAAGCTTATGTGTTTTCCTTTAACACACTTTTTGTCGCGTAGTGGGATGCAAGTGGGATATCTATAAAAAAAATGTTTTGTAACTCAAGACATACAATTTTTTACTTTTTTTTGAAAAATCAAAAACCTTTTTGACTTTTTTTTACCAAAATGGACTCTTTTTTTATTAATTTTTTTTTTCTCAAAAGAAAGCTTAGGTCTTTTCCTTTAAAACCTTTTTGGTCGCTTAGTGGGATTCGAGTGGGATATCTATCAAAATAAATGTTTTGTAACTCAAGACAAAGGTTTTTAAATTTGCACTAATTTAATTTTTTTTTCATATTTGTGTGTAAACCTTAAAAATTAAACTTACGCAGAGAAACTAGACACATTAGCCTTTCCGATGGTATGTAACATACCCAACTAAAATTTCATAGCCTCGATACTGTAATACCCATAATATGTTAACCTCAGGAATAAAAATCACTTTTTTTCTATGGAAATGTTGAATAATTTAATTTTGTTATTTATTTGTAATAATAATTAATTTAATATATAATAATAATAATAATAATAATAATAATAATAATAATAATAATAATAAAAAGATGAATAATTTAGTAAAATTTAATCTTAATCACAATAGATCAATTTATATAATAACTATTTTTACACTTAATTTATGAAGTTTTTAAATTTTCAAATATCCATACTTTTATCCTCCTTATTTGTCACCTTTATTAGCTGCTTTTTTTTTTGTCAATCCTTTCTTGGAGTTATTAGATTCAGCTACTGATTTCGCTTGTTACCGCAGCATCGAATCTGCTCTTTAGTGTTTTCAATGTTTCCTCATGATCCTCTTTGCTACTAAAAACAATTTTAGTTTCTTTACAATAATTCTTTGCCCAATGGAATAAAGCAGTCGCATCTAAGATGCGATCTTGATGAGAGCACTGGAGGCTATACTTCGCTGCATTTCTTTTGAGGTTTGCTCCAATACCATCACATGCTCCTTTACCATGAGCAGTAGGATGAAAATGCCACTCAGCTGGCATTCCAAAATCTTTTTCATGAGCTGTAAGATTTGCGAAGCTACTTTTGTTTTTAAAATGTTGACGAGCTCCGTCCGAAACGTAGTATACCTTTTCTACTGTAAATTTTGATTTTAGATAATTTAGTATTATCTTCTGGTACTCATAAACTGCAACGGTGTCATGTTTTAAATCGTCGGATATGATTGCCATACTTTTGTGTTCCAGGTTTTCTTCTTTCATGTAGTAAATAACTACTGTGAATATAGTTGCTTGGTAGTTATTCAAGTGGAATGCTTGTATGGAATCCTGAAGAACATATTTATAGTTCTCTGCGAAATCAAATGAAATAATGAATTCACCAGACTTCAAATGTGTTTTCAAGTCCTTGAAGAATGACCACTGCTCTTTGACTAAAAAGTCATGGGTTCTCAAATTTAGCAATCCTCTACACAGTTCTTCTACAAAATCATCCACATTTAAAATTATGGTTTTCAGTGTGCATCTTTCAGTCTGAAGCCAAGATTCAAATTTTAACTCCTCAATACATTCTCGATCAAAAGAGTTGATTAAATTTTCTTTGATGGGTGTGGTTTCCGGGCAATTCGAACATTCACCTACGTGGCAAGAAGTTGTAGCATTAGGGCACATAGTCAATTTAAGGCAATCGCGGTAATGGTGTAAATCTTCTGATGAATCATCTTTTAAGTAATTTAAGTTGATTTCCTTCAACATCAATTTAACATTTTCATGGTAAATACAAACACATACTGTGTGAGTTTCGCTGCTTCCTGCCAAGACGCAATGTTTTGGCCTCAGTTGTGTAAATTTTATGAATCAAATTTTGACATCCTCGTATTCAGATTGAAATGTTACGAATAATTCATTCAGGTTACAGAGAACCATTCTCTTCTGCATTTGAACTTTCTTGCCATCGATTCGTACAGACATCCAGTCTTTCATCCCTGGCATCAGGCGACTCATATCATCTCGCTGATAAAACTGAGTTATTAGAGATTTAGTATCGCACTCCAAAGTTTTTCCCTTATTTTTGTTTGGGAGTGTGAGAATCCCATGCTCAGCAACCAATTGTTTAGCAATTCTTGCTTTTCGTTGAGACGTTCCAAACTCAGTCATTGTTTTTGCAGAACTCCATGTTCTTGGAGCAAGCGTGAGAAGTTGAATTCTTTCAGCTTCACTCTGTGACGTTTTGTATTTCTCTTTTATTTGTTCAAGAACTTCTACTGCATCCAAGAAGGGCTTACATACTAAAGTACCTAGTTTAACCAAATGTTACAAATAATAATAAAAATAAACCACCATATAAATAACCTACCTGTCAATTTCTACCTCTCCACCCACTTCTTAAAGTCAAATGTTATAAAATAATAAATAAACTGGTACTTCGGAGAAGGGCCATAAAATATTTCCACTTGATTCCAAAAATTTGTTTCTGGGGCACCTGATATTTTAACAATGAAAATCACGTGCGCTGAAAACTACCTCTAGGATTGACTAAAAAAGCCGCAAGATACAAAACTCAGACAAATTTTGGAGGTGGAAAATTAATAGCGGTCGGCCTCATATTGCACCCCTCCAGTGGCTATTATCGGTCAGTTGTTGTGGTTTTTATTTTTAAGGTTTTAGAAACACTTACACACAAATATGAAAAAATCAATTTAAAAACATTTGTATTGAGTTACAAAACATTTATTTTGATAGATATCCCACTCGCATCCCACTAAGCGACCAAAAAGGTTTTAAAGGAAAAGCCCTAAGCTTTCTTTTGAGAAAAAAATTTAAAATGGGACCATTTTTTTAAAAAAAGTCAACAAAGTTTTTGATTTTGCATAAAAAATCAATAATTTTAAATCTTGAATTACAAAATATTTTTTTTATAGATATCCCACTCGCATCCCACTAAGCGACCATATAGTTTTTGATTTTTTGAAATTAATAAAAAAAGAGTCCATTTTAGAAAAGTCAAAAAAGTTTTTGATTTTTCAAAAAAAAGTAAAAAATTGTATGTCTTGAGTTACAAAACATTTTTTTTATAGATATCCCACTCGCATCCCACTAAGCGACAAAAAGGGTGTTAAAGGAAAACACATAAGCTTTCTTCTGAGCAAAAAAAAAAAATAAAAAATGGGTCCATTTTTTTTAAAAAAGTCAACAAAGTTTTTGATTTTGCAAAAAAAAAAAATCAAAAATTTTAAATCTTGAGTTACAAAATATTTTTTTTGATAGATATCCCACTCGCATCCCACTAAGCGACCATATAGTTTTTGATTTTGCAAAAAAATTCAAAAATTTTAAATCTTGAGTTACAAAATATTTTTTTGATAGATATCCCACTCGCATCCCACTAAGCGACCATATAGTTTTTGATTTTGCAAAAAAATTCAAAAATTTTAAATCTTGAGTTACAAAATATTTTTTTTGATAGATATCCCACTCGCATCCCACTAAGCGACCATATAGGTCGCTTAGGAAAAGACTTAAGCTTTCTTAAAAAAAATAAAAAAAAAAAAATAATAAGGGCCCATTTTGAAAAAAAAAGTCAAAAATGTTTTTGATTTTTTAAAAAAAATCAAAAATATTTTATTAAATTTGTTTAATTTTTTTTCGAAAGATTGCATAAATAGCTATCTAAACTATTTGGGACACATTTTGCTAAAAACGATAGGTAATAAGTTACATGGATGAGAAAAAACACCTGCATGGCCAAAATGTCAAAATGCCTCTAACTTAGAAAGTTCACAAGCGATCTTGTTGAAAAATTGTGTCTGAATTACTATCCAATAGAACTAACTATGGTTCATCGCGATCGGAAGACATCGATTTCAAAAGTTGGTTCACTTGACGTGAAATGCCCCATATATTATCTGCACTTAATCAAACAAATTAATTACCTGATAAGATGACAATTCTTTCACGAACGTATTATGACTTCGGCTCATATAGTCAAATAAAACATCTTGTTGGACATCTCGATTTTTATCAACAAATCCTTCAGCTGTATATATAACGCAGCCTGCGTAGTGCTTAATTCCGAATTCGGTTTCCCAATGCCTTCGATCAACTCCCTTAAAGTAGTAAGGATTGTATTCAAATTCAGCATGCATGTTATTCAGGTATGCCGTGTCGGAACCTTTTGGCATGTGACACTGTTCAGTTAGTAATTTAAAAATACATCTTGGCGGCCGCTCAATCATTTCTAAACACATAGAATTATCTGTAAATTCAACATGTGAGTAGACTATTTCCTCTTGTTTGTACTGCAAATAAAAAAAACGAGATTTATAAAGGTACACATAAATACATACATATGTACATTAGGGTTATAACTGCTTTTGAGCGCCAACATACCACAGCACTACCTTATTGCTAATACTGTCCTGATAATAAAAATTTATTTTTATACTCTTCAACTTCATGAGAAGTTTTTCATTCCGTTTGTTATTTCTATAATAAACATAATTTTTCGAACCTATAAAACATATATATTCCGAGATCTTATAGATAGCGGAGTCGATTAAACTATGTTAGTGTGTGTGTGGCTTATCTGTTCTCTCCCAGCTTTAGTTTCAGTCAAGCTGAGGGAGGGCACATTGTCCACCACCTTGGAAAATTATATTCTCCGCGGACTAAAAAACTGGAAAAATAAATATAGAAAATCAAAATAGAATTGTTACGGTGCAGGGCCTAAATGACCCAGTACCGGCGGCAAGTGTTGATCTACTCGTGAGTCACGTGTCGTCGTCATCCTGCAATCGTGAGCAAAAGACTACGGTGGAGGTACCTTGGGCGGACAATGCGTCAAGTTTACAGCATGACATTCGCAAAAACATAGGTGTAAAAGAAAAGGATGTACTCGGAGAGAGCTATAAGCTACCTCAGCCTTTAAATATAGGTGAGAGCTCCTACTCCTATATATTACTAAAAATAGACTTTCTGGAGGAAATTGAAAATGATGCTTCAGGAAATCATCGTTAGTCAATCCCACGACACTCCAAAAGAAAACTAGGACTCTCCCATAAGATCTGGGGCAAAGAGGATCAAGTCTTCCAAGGAGTTGACAAATGAATATAAACCTAGGAAGAAAAAGGGCTCCCCATCTTCTAATACACAGTCGAAGCTAAGCCATACTTCACTCAAAGGAACCTCAAGTCAGAATCCTGTGAGTAAGGGGAACAACGCCAAGCCAATGTAAACCTAAAAAACTTGGTGGAAAGTATCCCTCCTCCCTAGGACTGCGCTACGCTGGGACTGGCAAAAAGAGCGAGCTTCCGGTGCTCTTAAAGTCCACTGTCTACATAAAAGGATGGGGCAGTAAACTGACTGGCTGGGCTCAACATAGAGGCCTCAATGTTAACCCGGCGAAGACAGAAGTAAAATACAGAGTTAAATACTTAGATGTATTACTTAACCGGAAATTAAGATGGAGGCACGACATAGAGGAAAGGATTAACAAGGCACTTCGGTGTTGGGCGCTATGTAGAAGAACCATAGGCATGAAATGGGGCGTTACTCCTACTATGACACATTGGCTCTATAAAAGTGTAATTAGACCAATCCTAAGTTATGCTTCAATAATCTGGTGTACTTCTCTGGAAAAAAAGTGTAATATCAAACTACTACAGGGAGTTCAGCGTACATGCTGCTTGGGTATAAGTGGAGCCATGAGCACTACTTCAAACAAGGATCTGGAAACAATGCTAGATATTCCACCCATTGAAATATATATAAGATATGAGGCGGCACTTACAGCCGAACGGCTCATAACTTTAGGCGAAATGGCCAAAAGCGGTTATAGGACACGTCATCGATGTATACTGGACACATTGGAAGGCTATACACAATCATCAGACGTGCCTGATCGCATACCAGACACAGAATATGTCGGAAACTTTTAAACGCTGATCCCAGATAGAATGTCTTGGTCAAGCGGAAAACTAGAGCAAATACCAGTAGAAACACGTTGTTACACGGATGGCTCTTAATTGGGGGACAAAGGGGGCCAGAATGAGTGGATTCAGACAAATGTTTAGGAGAGGAGGGTGAAACTTTGAAGCACTTTCTTTGCCTATGTCAGGTATTCGTCGAAATTATATTCAAGTATCTTGGAAGTGATATTAAGTATTCCGAAAATAACATTTCTGACTAACACTGATTGGAAAATTTTTAGGAATTAAGTCCAGGAAACTGAATTTCTGAACATTGGAAAATAGTAAATTCAGTGAATTTTTTTCAGGGTTCTAAATATTCATTCACTTATCACTCACGCTCATGTACAAAAATAAAACTTTGCTTATGCAAGAACGCATGATTCTATTAGTAATATTTTTATTTTCGTACAATATTGAGATAACAAGAAAAACTTTTTTTCATGCACATGGACATTTTTGAAAAATAAACTGTTTGTAAAAATCTCACAACTGAAAGAGCATAAAGTTTTATTTTGCACTAGCATTCTAAAATGAATGTTGATAAATACATGTAAAATGTCGAGATTGAGAGTGTTCGTGTTTTTGCATGTAAGAATGAAATAAGAATATGTGCAAAGACTGGTAAAACAACAATTTTGTGCTTTGTGTGCTTTTTTATGATGCGTTTATTTCTGTTTTTTTGCTCGGCCCTACTTGTTGTTTTTTTTTTTTTTTTCAATGTAAGTCGTGCTTATTGGGTATCATTGGAAACGTCTATGAAAGAGCTTTCCACTGATGTATAAAATTACATATACCATTGACCATAGCTTTCAAACATATATCATGGGAAAGCCCCAAATGTTGTCTACAAAATTTTATATGAGATGAGGTACCCTTATATCGATATATTTATGAAATAATGGTACTTTTGTAAAAAAAGACGAAGTAAAAAACACAGGCACAATTTGTGCCTCACAACTAAAAAACAAAATATTTTTCTACTTACATACCTATTGAATGCAAAAGAATGAGAAAACATTTTTTGTTTTTTTTTCGTTTTTGTAAAGTAGCAAATAACACAAACAACGCACATATGAATATAAGAAAAAATACTAAAGTGAAAAATCTGTGCAAGTGTGTGTGTAAAAAAATTATGTTTTAAAATTGAAATTTTTGCCAAAAAATTCGAAAGAAAAAAGAATTCCGTTAAAATTAAAAATTTTTGCCAATAAATTAAAAAAAATCCCTTAAAAATTAAAAAAAAAAATTTTGCCAATAAATTTAAAAGGGAAAAATCTCTTAATAAATTAAAATTTTTTTTTAAATAATTATTCTCTAAAAATTGCAAATTCAAAAGAAAATATTCCAAGGAAAAAAAGTGTAAAAATTAGCCTGTTGCCAAATTTCTATTGAAAATTTAATAAATTCTGGAAAAGAGTGTTAAAAGTTCCAAAAAATTGTGACGTCAGATTTGTTTCCAAAGTCGACAAACTTACTGTGTAATTCAAAAACATAAAGAGTGAAAAAATTTAATTGCAATAATAAGAAACAAAACCAAAAATTCAAAGAGTTTAAATGTGACAAAACACTACCACCATCGATCATCAATAAATATTAAGCAACAATAACAAACATACATTATAGTTAGCGGTGATATTCCTACTCTCTTTATTGTTCTCAATAAATTGTGAAAAGAAAATAAAGAACAAAAGAAAAAAAAAACGCACAGTGGGCTGGACGTGAAACAATAAAATAATTATAAATATTCAACAAATATTTTTTTGTGCATCTACAACAAGTGAACATCAAAATTATTAAAAATTGATGTCACTGAGCATAATTGCTGTGGAAAATACCTATACATATTTGGAAAAATAATTTATTGGAAAATTTAATGTTGCTTCTGAGTGTAAATTTTGTGTGGTTTATTTGCTACTTCAAGGAGACAATTTCTCTCTTTATGCATGTATAAATGCGCACAGTGGTCACAGTAAAACAAAATAAATAAAATTTTTCTGATAATATTAAAAAAAAATAAAATCTGATAACACCGTCCAACACCATTTTTCACACAGGAACCAAACCATATACATACGAAGGCACATAATTTATGTGGTATAACTGCGTACTCAGTTTTTCATTTTCTGATCGTTTGTCCTTTTTAAAGGACTTTAAAATTTGAGGTACATACAATTTTCAAAAATTTTTATAAAATATTTTTAGCCATCCATTGCAGTATTTATATCTCGTATTTTGTTTTATTTTTTAAGAATAAAAAGATGTAAAAAATATCCTTATAAAAGTTTATCCTTTATTGTCCTTGAAATTTTATACAAAATTGTTCAACAAAAAATATTCATAATAAAGACATTAGAATGGAGTACAAAAGTCTGAAATTTGGTCTTCATAGCTAAATTTGTTTAATTTTTATAATTTTTTTTAAATATCTCAATAAATAAATTAATAAATATTGTTAAAATATTATGCAGAAAAAAAGTTAAAAAAGTGGATACTTTGAAGAATATGTCATGTTAAAACTACCTTCAGGGGAAGTATATTTTCTTTTTTAATTTAACACAATTATTCCGAACTCTATAGTTATTCTAAATTCTATATATCTTTTAAAAATATCTTTGACCTCCCAATAATGTTTTCAAAGTAGTTTATAAAATTAATTTTTTTTTTTTAAATTTTTAACAAATTGTCGCATTATTAGTTGTGTTTTGCTGCTATCAATGAGTGTTAACGCTTAAAGTTAGCAACAAAACGAACATTACCTGACTTGGCATCACTCCACAGAAGAAATCTGCTAAATCTTGAAATTATTTACAATTTCTTGAAAAGGTTTTTTTATTTGGTAATTTTCTTTGATTTAAATTTTATTTTAAAATATTTTTTTATTGTTTGACATAAACACATTAATATTTGTATTTTTATTTTTGAATTGGTAGCACTTTTATCAACGTTAAAATTAACTTGTATAATTTTACACGTTAACTCCTAACGTTTATAAATTTTAAATTTATATGAAATTGCCTTTGAACGTTAGCAACAAAACACAACTATTGTTGTCTTGTAGAGGCTTTTAATAGGGATATTATAAAATTAAGAGGAGAGATTTATGTCTACATATATAAACGTTTTTATGTAGCTTTTTATCGCGATATTAATGTTTATAAGTCAATTATGGAAGTTGAAGCCATATTTTACTATTATAATTTATATTTATAATAATATTGCGCTTATTTTAGAGTTCGGAACATGCATGTTTTAATCACTAAACCGTCATAATCACACTAAATAAAATTTTATATATTTTAAGGCCTGTTATCTCAACCTCCGGTTATCGT